TTAAGTGTTTGGGCTTATATTCGTTGGGGGAGGGATCTGAGGGTTTTTCCATTGTAGTTAATTCTGATTTAGGGCGCTTGTTTTCGGTAGGAAACAGTGATGGGAAGACATGATAACATTGTGGTGTCTAATTGGTGATTTAGCCATTTTGGCCTGTATACCTTTTCTCGAATAATCTGAGGCATTTTTGGCAGGCATTTTATGATTTTAAATGCGGTACATCACAGTTCCGTGATATACCGATAGTAAGCCCCACCCATCCCGAAAATAAGCACCCCCCTACCGAAAATAAGCGCCCTTACCGAAAATAATCGCCTCAAATCAGAATTAACTACAATGGAAAAACCTTCAGATCCCTCCCCTAATGAATATAAGCCCAAACACTGTTAAAAATGTAACCAAATCATTTTTGAAACGCATAATTAGTTCCTATAATATTCTTCTTGTGAAGCAAAACCAAAAAATCCTTCTGTACATAAATATGAGCAGGGCTTATAGTAAAGTTATTATTTGGGGGTAATTTGGTCACTTTATTATTCAATTACTCGCCCCCCACCCCCCCTAATTGAGAATTCCTCTTACTTCCCATCTGTACATTGCAACCGTAAAGTTTCTGTATCCACCTCGCCATGTCACAGATTACAACACCTGGTGACAGCAATGGCCATTGATATCATCTTTACAATCGACAAGCCTAGTCTTGGGAACATTGTCGGTGTTTAACTGGTCAGCAGTTACCTTGTTGAATAACAGTGTGATTCTTGTCACGGCAAGTGGGAATTAATGTCCCGTGTGCGAAGAATGTTCACGCAATCACAAAGGTAATTGCTTCAATTTTTATGTGAATTTTAATCATTATAGATCTAATTGTAACAACAATTATAACTGTAATCTAATCTCAACGAAACTGTCTGCGAAATCTGCTATACATACTTAGGCGAATATGCCAACATGCGAGTTGTCAATTTCAAGGTCATCAAGGGTAAGTTTCTTCAGATTTGTTTGACTGTCTAAATTTGTTACAATATACCATCTATACCTTGTTTTGTCTTGTTTTTGGATTACTGTTTTCCCCCATCGAATAAGTAAGCTAAACTATCTGTATATCAAGAAATTTGATCGGCTGTTTAGTGGAGTAAATTTGACAGCTACTTGCATTTTGAGCATCAATATGCATAAATAATGAGGTCATTTTATGATTTTTCCAGCTTTATTTGGACGAGTACTGCTAAAGTAAAGCAGTAAAAACGTGTTTAGAAACTATTCATACGTGATTATGACGGAAAAGAACATTATTTGGATCAAAATTTCACGCGTATGTTTGACCTTCTTTTCGCCGATTAATTAGAAAATTTTGAAATACTGATACAGTTCACAATGACCTCTAGGCGATAATACCTGCTGGCCGGAAAATTTTATTTAATAGCATTGAAGATCAAGTCTTTATCTCTCCACAAATGCAACGAAACATCTGTGCAAAGTCTAACTTTTGAGTTATATGATTTTTTGTACACCCACTTTTAACCTTTTCGTATAAGCTGTCAATGAAGGTACCATAAAAGTTAAAATTTAACTAGTTGAAATGATGTTACGGAAACTTTAATAATACCATAGTATTAACAGATCATATACATACCACCACACGGCAGGATGATGTCTGGCAATGAATTTCAAGGGAAGTGAGAGGATGTTAAAATTACGAAAAAATGGAAATTTGAAGACCAAAAAATCACCATTTCGGACCCCCACGGGACCCCCCTCGTAAATCCGTCAAAATAAAGTTAGAGCCAAAACGAAATGCATTTTGAAACTAACCACATTAGGTGTTACTCGCATGCAAAGTTTCAAGGAAATATGTTATGTGGCCCAAATTGGTTATGAGGATCTTACAGAGACAGCCTCTTAAGTTGGAAACCAATTTAATTCAGGAAACCAATTTAATTCACCCTTGGTAATCCAATCAGAAGAGCCAAACATCAACTTTTGAATGGGTTGCTTAACGCAACGAGTATCATGTCACACGACAGCAGTTATCAACAACAAACTATGGGAGGAGAAAATGTCCCTTGTTCAATAACAAGCGCAAGTAAATAAGATGGTTATCAAACCTAGCGTGATTGTAGATTGCAATGTGATTGACAAAACCAAAATACATGTATGTAAAATAAAGATCAGACGCCACAGTTAAGAGGGTAACTAGACAGAAAAAAAACATCCGCCAAAAACGTGATTAAATGAAGCATCGAGAACGAACAAGAGTATCTCTTCAAAAACGACCAAGTGAAGACAGTTTTGTTGAAAAAACAAACAAAAAGAAAGTAAAAACATAGAGAACACGCGAGACCAAGTCGACCAGCCTCCCGTTGAATTCCGCATGTGAGAACAGCGCAAGCTTGACACACGAAATAGAGTGTTTGTCTGAGGATATTTCTCTCTCTTTTTCTCTCCCTCTCTTTTTTTTTGGGGGGGGGGGGGGTGGGGGGGGGGGGTATACACGTCTGGCAGGAGGCAGCGTAACCGAGTGGTTTAGGCGTTGATGCTATAATCCGGTGATTCGGCCAGTTTTTAAGCCCCCTTTCCACACGAGCAAGTTTTTCCTTGGAACAAGTTTTCCTTGCTCGTGTGGAAAGGGAAATTGTGGCAATTTTTTCCTTGGACAAAGTGTCCTTGTTCAAAAAACGAAGCGTGCCAGTTGTTTTTCTTGAACAAGGGACAACTTGTCAAGGAAAAAAATTGCCAAGTTTGCGAAAACTTGGTTTCGCTGTGGACGTGCAACAAGGGAAAACTTGACAAGGAATCCCTGGTGCCCAACGGCCTTATCTTGTTGCTCGCGACCTGGATCCTATTAAAGACGATAATCCGCTGTACAATATTATTGTTGTTACAAAGAAAAATTGTCAAAGAAAAATTGTTTATCGTCCACACGAGCAAATAAAATTTGTCAAGGAAAAAACTTGTCAAATTAAATTTGTTGTTTATCCACACGAGCAAGGAAAACTTGTCAAGGAAAACTTGCCAAAGAAAACTTGCTCGTGTGGAAGGGACTTTAAGGCCTCTATCCTGCCACTCCAACATCCTGTCGCTCTCAATTTACTAGACTAAATTTAATTTTCGCTTAATTTATGGCAAAGAGGAGATAAAAAAAAACCGTGACAACAACGCCGGGAAACAAAAAAACGCCCGATACTTTTCGGAAACGCGGTTACACTTGTTCACACGACTATCACTTTAAAAAACCACACAAAGCAGGATATAAACATGAGAGTATGCTAGTTGCGTTACCTTGCGTGACTGCTTGTCCAGCAATGGAGTAGATTCTCATGGCTAAAGCGAAGTCTTCCAAATTGTTGAGAAACATTCCAAAGCTTAGAAACTGTTCCAGGGTAATGCCCTATACAAGAAACGAGGTTTACAAAGGTTAATACATGAACACCGTTATACCAGATACGGTCGAAGCTCTCGTAAGCGACCACCCGGGAACTCGATAAAGTGGTCGTAACTAGAGCTGTTCGCTTACGAGAATGGGCTGTCGTAAGCGACCACGCGCTGAAACTGAATAGAGGCTGGTCGCTTACAAGAACTTTTAGCATAAAGCTCGGGATATGTAAATGTTATTACAGCGCGGGCACTCGAACCATGGCCGCTAAGGCTTTATTTTTTACTTATTTTCCACTTTTCTTAAACTTATTTTTTCATTTTTTTCAGACCTAGCCAATCACAGCCGTGATTCGAAGCACCGGCCGATACATTTTTTTCTACCTTTTTACCGCGTTTTATCAAAGTACCATCGTCGTGGTCTTACTTTGATAAAAACGGGGGGAAAAAGTAGAAAAAATGTCTCGACCGCTCTCTCATTCAGATGATTACAATGTCTCATAAATATGTACAGTGTAGCACAACAAGTGGTCGCTTACGAGAGCTAAAATCAAAGGAAATTACCAGTTGGTAATTCCCAAAAGTGGTCGCGGTTGTTTACGGGAGCGGTCGCTTACAAGAGCTTTTAATTACACAGTTTGAATGACAATTCAAACGTCGTAACTAGAGCTCAGCTGATCGCGTACGAGAGTGGTCGCAAGGAGAGCTGCAGGGGAATTCTTTCACCATTCAGATGGCTGGAACTAAATTTATTGCAAAAGGACTACTCAACCAATCACAGCGCGAGTTATATAACTAAAATTTTAGAAAATGATTAGCTTATATTTTCACTTATTTTTCGCGAGTACTACTAATTTTTTCGATTTTCGCGATTGAAAAAAATTCGCGAAATTAAATACCGCGAAAAAAAGCTGCCGCAAAAATTGAAAACGCGAAATTTAATACACAATTGACACAGTAATATTCGGAAAGAGGTCCTTTGTAAATACCTTTTTGGAACAGTTTCCCTAAATAACAAGCAAGAAATCATATGTTGAAAAACAATGCTTTACTGAACTGAGCATTTTCGTGTGAAGTTAACCAACCTTGATAACGTACTTATCAAGTGTTTTGTACGTTACCTGTTTTGTACGCGAAATTGAATACCCTTTGGGTCCATAATCGCGAACAATAATACTCGCGAAATATGGCTCTATCATTTTCACGAAATTATAAAGTACGCGCGAAAATTAGCGAGAATAAGGTGTTTTTATCACAACAATTAAAATTGGAGTTCCCACCTTTCTTTGGTTAAGCCTGCTAAAAAGTCTGTCCAAGTATTGTTGAATTTCCTCTTCTTCTAGCGAAGTGTTTCTCAGCAACAGACGAGCAAAACTATCCTCTGGTATGGTGGGCATTCCTCTTGAGTATTCCATAAAGTGGACAGAGTCAAGGAATTCAAAAGAGATGGCTTTTAAAATAAATAATGTCAACTTCCCTTCTTGTGGTTTAAGCTTTAAAAGGTGGCTCAACAGTTCCCTTTTGTGTGAAAATAAATGATGGTGAATTTTACTAAGCTTGATAGAAATATGAGAAAGATATTAATCAATCAGTGATACAAGCTACTTGGAAAAAAAAAATCTGAGTTCTTCCAATAAGAGTCGAACCTAAGACCTTCCGCACACTGGTCAGACGCTCTACCACTGAGCTACAGGAGACTCGTGGGAGCTTAGGCCAAAAAACTAGGTTCAAATGTGACAAACTTCCCGCATAAAGCCAGTTTTGTCAATATGCGAGATATGTAGAAAGAAATGATGGTGAATCTTATGCTTGGTAGAAATATGAGTGACACAATTAAAGCTACTCTGAAACCAACCAGTGTGCGGAAGGTCATAGGTTCAACTGCCTGTTAGGAGAACTCATTATTTTTTTTTCCGAGTAGCTTGTGTCACTGACTGAATAATATCTTTCTCTCAAGTTCCGTTCTTTATCAAATCCAAATTCCGAACTAGAAATTCTGATTCTTTCTCCACTTCAAAAAAGTGTGCTACAGTTGTCAAGTGATTTGTCTGTGTTAAGATGCTACAATGATCAATCTCAGAAATGTCAGTAGCAGCTCGCTAATATAACGTCTTCTCTTTGTTGGTATTTAACTAACATTATTTTTTAATGTAAAGGATATCTCCATTTCAAAGACTTCTAACTGGAGATCTTGCATAAACCTGTACAAGAATAGAATGAAAATGAAATCAATGGTGTGTTGCTGGGTAATTTTGAGTTTGTGAGGCCTTTACACCATAGGCCATAAATTATGATAAATAAATATTATTTTAATATTATTAAAAATAATATTTTTTTTAGTGAAAGTAAATGTAGGTCTTGTGACCTCCAGCTTCAAAAGGCTTAACGACTCATCTCATAAACTGTAATAATATACAGGGACCGCGCAGGGGGAGGGGCTGGGGGGGCTTTAGCCCCCCCGCTTTTCTAAAAAATAACAATAATAAAAATTTCCAGAAGTCATTTCACTGACTAGTTAACGTTTTTAACTGGAAGTTGGTGATAACATTTTCTTTTTGATCTGCAGTAGTTCGCAACGGACAAAAGTCGCAATGACCATTAGCAAAGTAGACGCGATTACAACTGAACAAATATCAAGAGTTAAGCGGATAACTTTGACTGACTTTATGCTATTGAGCAGTTGTATCTTGCGTTTTATAGAGAAACGTTTTTATGACAACATTTTATCGCCATAGATATTTGAAACTGAGAATTATACACAGCTCTGGACATCGCGAGGCACGGGAGTCCTGCGTGATAACCAACAGAGAAGCGCGCATAGTAAAATGAGCATAATTAACGAAGGCTTCTGGCTGTTGGAAGGAAAATATCTACAAAAATCTCTGATTACTTTTCGAAAAATGGACAACTCTCTCTGAATTTAAAGACCGGATAATAAATGTTGATTCTTGTATTAAAAACAGTCACTTTTTAAGCGCTGAAAGTTGGTAATTTGCACCACGCTTGTTAACTTTAGATGCATTTCCAGCCATTTCAGAGGACTTAAATTCACAATTTTCAGCATGCCCCCGGACCCCCCTAGATGGCTAACGCTGACGCGTTCGCATTAGCCCCCCCCACTAAAAAAAGTGCTGCGCGGGCCCTGATATATATCAAACCCAAGAGACAGAGTTTGATCACATTTCCAAACCCCGAGAAGAGGGTTGAAAATATGACACGCAGAGGAGTATTTTTAACGAAATTCGAGGGGTTTGGAAATGTGACCAAACACTGTCTCCAGGGTTTGATATATCTTCTCAATCGAAACTAAAACTAAGGAGGAAACAGAGAAATGTAATCGCACAAATCTATGGCGGTTTTGATCAGATATCAAAACCCTGTCACAATCATGATTCCCTTTGTTTTAACTTGATGAATTACACTTTATTATATGGCAAACTGGTCCACGATGAAAAGGAGCATTCTGATTGGTTCCCTGAGCAGTCCAAATTTTGCAATACGGACCGCTAAGATGGACCGCTCACAAACTCATTTCGCCGAATTCCTTTTATGAAACATTGAACAAAAGAAAAAAAAACTGCAAAAAAATTACTCGACCAATATTTTCCCAATACGGACCGAACAAGCTAGTTCAATAACATCTAATTGAGAACATACTTGGAAAACTGGCTGGATGTAAGTTGGCCAGTTCCCCTGGAGCCAAAGAAATGCATCGTCAGTGTAGTCTTGTTAAGGCAATCACCATTCTCCTTTTCCCCATTTTCATGCAAAGCCTGAAAAAATAAAAACAGATCTCATTCAACAAGTTCATGGTCAAAGTAGAAATGAAATGAGACCTTACTGTTCAAGTAAACAAGTTGTATTTTTTCTCACCATTGATTTTGCTGATGACTTTTTATTGACCATCTCCGCAAGCTGTACATGTATATGAAACAAAAAACTAAAACATTACTTTAGGACCTTTGTTGATGCAGTATTGTTCAGTTTACTTACTGTAAAAGGTTCTATTTATTAAACCCCTCTCTCTAATAAGCCCCCCTTTGGAAGTCAGCACCCTCTCTATTAAGCCCCCCCCCCCCCCCCACCTGTAAGAGGTCTGAGTTAAATGTTAAATATAGCATCTGAATTTATTTCCGTCAGGCTGATGCAAACGACAGCAATATTTTCTGGCGTTTCAGTCACTTAGTATTGAAAAGTGGTCTTAAATATCGTCAAGCTAGCCATAGGGTATAAATGACATTGTGTGGTTCCAGAAAATATCCATACCCCCCCCACGGAAGACAACTGGAAATTCCGAGGGGGTGGGGGGTTAAAGGCCCAGGAATTCCGAAGGGGAGGGGGGGTTCACGCAGAGCTTGTTTTCCAGAGGGTTCCCTTCTGAACAAACACAACAAATTCGTAAGAAATACTTACGTACTTTGTCTCTATTTTCGAGGAATGAAACCAAGCCAAATCAAACATTCTGGCCATTGAAATAAACCCAAACATCTTGTTCTTTCATGTATCTTTTATTTTCTGAGTTTACCGCCTCTCTAAATGAGAAAAAATGTCTCTTGAAGTTTGCAAGCACGAACTGAACCGAACGGGATCAAAATGGCCGACCAAAACTCCTTCCCAGTCCCCTGGCCATTGTTTCTTGGAAAAGCCAGGTTGCTCAGCTTTGTTACGAACACGAACGATTTTCGAATTTTCCTTCGTCGTGCAAGCGCTAAACAATGGCAAAGTGTCTTGAAAACAAAAACATAATCAGACTTCAAGACAAGTAAGTTAAATTTTTGATTGGAAAGAAAGATATTCTTTCTTTCTTTGGATTAAATTTGTGATTCACGTTCATTGTTTGTTCTTTCTGTAAACTCTGTTAGCCGTGTGCGTGTTGATGAAAGCGATCGGTATTTTGCGTAACTGAGTCTTCATTTTTTTAGGTACAAAACCTTTTGGAATTTACGAGGGGGGGGGGGGGGAGGAATCCATGTTTAAAAATACTGGAAATTCCTGGGGGGAGGGGGGGTCATCAAAGACCCCCTTGGAACGGAAATTCCTGAGGGGTGGGGGGGTGAAAACCAAAATGTCTTCCGTGGGGGGGGTATGGATATTTTCTGGAACCACACATTGCAGTGAGACAGCGATA